CTGATGCTTCGCTAAGCTTGTTCCAAGTAGGTGCTTTAGACCACTGAGCCATCTCTCCAGCCCCATGGCTCACAGTTTAGAGAGGCTTCAGCCCACACCTGTTGGCTCCATGGCAGGGGGCATGGCAGAAGGACAGGACAGGCAGGAGCCATGAGCTGGTCTTCCTGCTTTCCCTCTATGCTCCACCCAAGCTATATGCCTATTGGTTGGTGCTGCCCACACACAGCACGGGTCTTCCTATTATCCACACTCAGAACCACACTAAACCAACCAGTGAACCAGTTATCATTCCCATAATCAAATGTCACCATTTCATCCATAATCCAGCCACTGCCTAAATGCCCCATCCCTATGAGTGTATGAGGCTTCAGGGGCCATCTGGGTATAAGCCATTGCATATGCATTGCAAAACAGGCAGCAAAGTTTGGGCAGAATAGTTGTCTAAAACTGAAATAGCCCTGGCTGATGGGTAGTATCTACAGTAACAAAATTCTGTATTTCCCTCTCTGGGAATTGGACCTGCAGGTCAGGGAAAAACTGTTCAAACTGAAGAAACTGTTGACCTCTTAGGGTCAAACTGTTAAATGATCCAATGTCTCATCATGTCAATTCATTAATCTTCAATATGGCAGATTTAGTAGTCAATAAGGTTAAGTATTACGAGAGATTAACAGGAAAGAAGAACGAAGGTGGGCTTGGAGCCTCTTAGTTCAGGCTGCTATAACCAAGCACCATAGAGTTGGTGCTTTATGAACCATAAATATGGTGTTTTTTTTTTTTTTTTTTTTTTTTTTTTGCAGTTCTGGGACTACAAGTCTAAGAACAAGGTGGTAGAAGGCTAGGATATAATTTAGAGGTACAGCACTTGGCTAGCATGCACACAAGGCCCTGGGTTTCATCTCCAGCACTGAAGAAAACAAAACAAACAAAAAGAGTAACAACAACAACTAAGGTGCTGGTCAATTCAATACGATGAGGGCATCCTCATTCATAAACAGCCATCTTGTGTCTGTGTCACACATAGCAGAAGGGCCTGTGAAGTTCTCTGGGGTCTCTTATAAGGGGATTTATCTCACTCATAAAAATCCCACCCTCATAGCCTAATTCCTTCCCAAAGGTCCTATCTTCAAATATATTGAGGATTGGGTCTCCATACATAAATGTGGGGAAGGACATGACCATTCTACAGCAGGGTCTGTAGTTGCCTTTCCTATTGAGAGAAAAAGATGAAAGTTAGAGGGAAGGAAAGTTTAGAAGATAATGTCTTTCTTTCTCTTTTCTTTCTTTCCTTCCTCTTTTCTTTCTTCCTTCCCTCATTCCTCTTTCCTTCCTTTCTTTTTTTTAATTTCTTTCTGGGACAGGGTCTTGCTACACAGTTCAGGCTGGCCTTGAGCTCACTTTGTAGCCCAGGCTGGTCTCACACTCACCATGATCCTCCTGCACTCCAAAGGGAGGCACTGCAGTCAGGAAAAGGGTTCAGTTACTCCTGGGTACTACAGTGGGCTTAAAGACAAACTCGGAGCTCAGCCATTTAAATAAAATACTCTATTCTCCTTATTTTCCTAACCACTGGGACTGCAACTGCCATCCTACCCATCAATAAGGCTTGAAAACACTCTTAAGTTGTGAATCATTTCTTTTCTTAGGTCCAGTAAATTGCTGTGTTCTGTAGTTTTGATCTCTGTGCTACTTCTCAAATTTGTCCTTCTCTCTAACAGGCACTGTTGGGCAGCTTGCTGCGTGGTTTCCTTAAGCATTTTTTTTTTTTTTTTTTTAGCATCATCTTTTTGGAACCCTCTGCTAGAAGAAAGATCAAAAGATGTCCTGGGAACACGCCATAGCTATTTGCTGTGACGGTTTTCTGCAGGTATTGCCGTTTAGTTTCTGCACAGCTCACCACACTCGTTTCTCTTCCAGTCTCCTACTGTGTTGGAACCCTGGCAACTCACACTGAGATCAAACGAGTGGCAGAGGAGAAGGTCACTTTGCCCTGTCACCATCAACTGGGGCTCCCTGAAACAGACACCCTGGATATCGAATGGCTGCTCACTGATAATGAAGGTGGACAAAAAGAGGTAAGTATGCGTGTGGCTGGAGTACCCCCTCTCCTTTGTCCCTCTACGTTTTTATGTTCCTCAGTCTTCTACCTCATTGGCTCTGAAAGAACTGTAACTGTCTTCATCTGGCTTAAACCTGAAAGATTATAGCTTTAGATACAAAACTACAGGGTATTTCAGTTGTTGGCCTGTTAGGTTCCTTGAGCAAGCCAGAGGGACTAGAAAGGTGTTTGGCAAAGGACTGGGAAGTGAAGCTGCATTATTAGCATCTTTGGAGTAAGATACAGCTCTTTAATCCCCTAGCCACATGGATAGATATGAACCTGAAGCCTAGAATTCTGAGAGGCCAGCTTTTCTTTTTCTTTTTTCTTTTCTTTTTTTTGAGGAATCTGGGATTGAACTCAAGCCTCTACACTTGCCAGGCAAGCACTTATTCCACAGAGCCATCTCCCTGGCCCCTAGCTTTCCCTCATTGTATACCATCACTATTTGGTGGGCCTCAGCTTGCTCAGTTATGATGTTCATGCTAAGATTTTATAGTATGATAAAGCAGGCATAGTGGCCTACATTTATCAACTCAGCTACTTGGGAAGTTGAGGCAAGAAGACAGAAATTTCAAGGCCATCTTGGGCAATGAAAGAAGTCTTATAATTTTATTTATTTATTTTTGGTGGAACCAGGGATTGAACTCAGACCCTTGCACTTGCCAGGGAAGTGCTTATTCTACTGAGCCATCTCCCCGGCCCCTAGAAGTCTTATAATTTTAAAAAGGGTTGGAGACATGGTTCAGTGATACAGCACTTGCCTACCAAGCATGAAGCACTGGGTTTAATTCCTAAAGGGAAAAAACATGCATGAACCAAAAGAGGAAGTAGAATACATAAATGAAAATGTTGCACACAAATGTAACTGACCAGCAAGGGAACGGACACTGGTCCTGGAGCTAGAAAATAAAGGAGCTCAGGGCTCATGTTGGGTAAAGTCAAGAGGAGCCATGGCCTCCTGTGCTTCTGGCTCTGCCATCTGAAGATCCAGTGGCTTGCCTGCCATTAGAGAATGACAATGACCCACCCCTATTATCCTTGCTGCCTTGTCCGCGTGCAGCCACAACAGCGATCCTCAATCAGGTGTGTGAGCATCACTCTTTTCACTTCTTTTCCTCACTAACTTTGTTGCTGTTGCTCAAAAACTTATCTTTTTGTTTAAAATTTTGCTTTTTTTTTTTTTTTTTAAATACAAGTGTTCTTTGAAATTAAATGGACTATCTTAAGAACGGGATACGAAACTTTATGCCAGTTTGTTATTCATGCATAGATGTAGTATCAGTTGTGTCTATATTGCTTTTGTAAGTGCTTTGTTACTCTGAAAATGATGTTTAAAATATAATATCCTCTAATAGTGTCTATGAGGATACAAACATGTTTTATTTGGATAAATATGGACACTCATATCTTTTCTGTATTTTCTGGCTTGCATTTCTATTATGATTATACATATATATACACAGAAAGATATGATAATAAAACAGCATGAATGCTTATATATTTTAGAAAATAGAAAAGAATGTAAGAAAAACAAAAGAGAAAGATAAAGAGAAAAATTTCTTTGTGTAAAAAAAAAAAAAGATAAAATTTTGCTTTTTTAAAAAAAAAACAGCCCTGTAACTTAAGGAAACTTTTAAATTTGACAGAGCTTTACTCCTTTTCCTGCTACAAAAGTGAAAAGTTTCCCTCTCCTCTTCTCTGTATCTACCATTAATATAAGATGATTTATGGAGCTAGTGAGACAGCTCAGCGGCTTAAATGCCTCCCTGGCAAGTGCAAGGTCTGAATTGAATCCCTAGCACCAAAACAAAACAGAAAAACCAACCTGTCATAAGATGGTTTATGCTGGAAGAAGCTAAGGTTTTCACTGAAAATATATTTCAGGCTCAATGTTGAAGTTTAACTTTCTTAAATAGCTTTCTACAGCACTTTAATGCTTTGATTTGGGGTTGTAAATCAAACATATGCTCCTGGTTATGAACTTCCACTTGCCCTTGATGCAGGACAAGTTCAGAGTTGAACCCCATCTCTCTCCTCTACTGTAAGACCCCAGTGCTCTGGTCCCTGCACCTACCATTGCCTCTGTCTGAATAATCTGCCTCATCATCTTTAACAAATATCACTAAATAATTTCCTCTTTAACAATGCTACACATGGGCTGGGGAGATAGCTCAGTACAATAAGCAAGCACCAGGCCCTGAGTTCAATCCCCAATATCATTAAAAAAAAACAAAAAACAAAAAAACCCACACGTAATTTTAATTCAAGTGTTTTCATTTGAACTAAAGAAAGACTAAGTTCCCTGGAATTTTTTTTAGCCAAATGAATATAACAGATAGCAAGTTTATGTTCATTTAAAAGTTCCAATTCCTACCAGGCATGGTCGCACATGCCTGTTATCCTAGCATTGGAGGCTGAGGCAGGATGATCACTGCAAGTTCAAGGCCAGCCTACGCTCCATAGCAAGTTTTAAACTAGCCTGAACTACACCATGAGACCTTATCTCAAAAAAGAAAGCCTTAAGGGCCAGGGAGATGGTTCAGCAGAATAAGCGCTTGCCTGGCAAGCGCAAGGGTCTGAGTTCAATCCCTGGTTCTGCAAAAAAAAAAAAAAAAGAAAGAAAGAAAGCCTTAATTCCCTACTTACCTTCAGTTGATAATCTAAGACAAAAAAAGAGTCTTCACCCAATCACTCAGATTGCACAAGTTTATTTAGCACTTACTGTATGCCATGCTAGGTACCGGGATACAAGAGTACAGAAGCCACTGTTGTCCCTGCCTTTTAGGAGTTTAAAATGAAAAGATATTCAGTAACAGAAGAAAGGGAGGAACATTAGCTACATGCCAGATATAATTCTGTTTAACACATAATACCTTGTTTTATTTAATCTTCACTTCTTTAATTAGTAGGATTAGGCAGATTTTACAAATATGGAACTGAGTCACGTATGTAAGTGTTCACACATACCCTGATAAACACACATGTGCAATGTGGAAATTTACTAAGATCATCTGTTTTTACACGAATGAGCACAGTGTGATACTGTTATCTGATGGCTGGTCCTGAGGGAATTCTTTTCAAGTTCCTGATGTCCTGAACAAAGAACTGGAGAAGTCACACACACAAAATAGCTGGGCCCAGTGTGGTATCATATACATGTAATCCCAGCACTCTGGAGACTGAGGCAGGAGGATCACTGTGAGTTCGAGACCAGCTTGGTCTACAAAGTGAGCTCAAGGCAAGCCTGAACTGCAATGAAACCCTTCTCAAAATGACAAAAAAGGAAGAAAAGAAAAAGGAAGAAAGGAAGAAAGGAAAGGTAACAGGTGTACAGCTATCACAGTGAACAGACTCACAGCACCCGTTAGGATAAAGGAAAGGTATATTTTTTTTTTCCAAAATTCCTGGACTGAATTCCTTCCCTGCAAATAAGGCTCTGGGACAGTTGCCCCATCAAAGCCTCACATGGGCTGGTGCCAGATTTAAACTGTCCTATGGAAAGACTCACTTGGCTTCGTTTCTTTTCTTTCTTTCCTTCCTTTCTCTCTCTCTTTTTTTCCTTCCTTCTTTTTCTTCAGTACTGGGGGTTGAACTCAGGACTTTAAGCTTCCCAGGAAGATGCTTATGCTGCTGAGCCATCTCCCCAGCCCACTTGGCTTCTTGCCAGATGTACAGAAGAACAGAAAACAGTACTTTTCAGATTGGTTCCATGTACAGTGCCTGGGAGCCACAGGGCCACCCTGGAACTTGTGCTTTGTGCGTGTCTCCTTGTTTGGCTGGTTCGCCCCAGCCCTACTCTCCTCCCCCAACACACTTGCGAGATGCTGGGAAGCAGCACCAAGGCATAGTTCCCAGTCAGCCCCATGATCACGGGGGCAATGGCCAGAAGGCAAGAGCAATTGGTCTAAGACAGTGTTCAGTGGGTCAGGGTATCAAATGCATGATGACTTCCAGTGTTTTCAACTTAAAATTATCGGAAGGTAACCCATCCTAAGTGGAAGAGCACTTGTAGAATACTGTTGCTTAACTCTGTCATGTTTGCCAGTGAGTTCTAAAATTCTCTCTTGCAGCATTTTTTATCTATGTATTTATTTTAGTGGCACTGGGGATTAAGCCCAGGGCCCCATGTGTGCCAAGCACTGTACCACTGAGCCACACTCCCATGCTCTGAAGGGTTTTTTTTGGAGCCAGGGTCTCACCATTTCAGACTGTCCTTGAGAGCACTCTGGAGCCAGGCTAGCCCTGAGCTCACACCGGCCCGCTCTCCTCAGCCCTCTCGGTGCCGCCTCGATAACACGGGTGTGCACGCATCACTGTGGTGCGAGGCTTTCTAAGTCTTTATCTTTGGTGCCTGGAGTCAAACTCAAGCCCTCGTGCTTGCCAGGCAGGCGCTGTGCCTTTAAGCTGCATCCCTGGGGAGGCTGGTAATTCTTCTGAGGCCGTGTCCCTAAGGCCAGCATGAAACTACTTCTTTACACATTAATTTCTTCAACTGCCTTTTTTGTTGCAGGAGCATATTTAGTAGAATTCTAATAATACTTATTAAATTTAGTTCATGGATTTTTAAAGTTATTCTTTGCACTTTTGGATTTTCTAGGTACATTTTATATATAATATTCATCACAGAGAATTTGTCCCTATACATGATATGTGTTGCTTTTTCCCCCATTCCCCTCCCCTCCCTTCAACCCCTTTTCCTCTCATGTACAAAAGCTTTGTTTCAGGTCTGGGGAGATAGCTCAGTGGCCTAAGTGCCTGCCTGGTAAGTGCAAGGTCCCAAGTTTGATCCCTGGCACCACAAAAAAAAAAAAAAAAAAAAAAGAGAGAGAGAAGAAAAGAAAAAAGAAAAAAGTTTGTTTCCATGTTTTTCTTCTATTCTTTTCATTCTTTGCCCTTCTTTCCATTCCTCCTCCCCACTACCTCGTTCCCCTTCTCATTTGAACATTTTCTTCTCATTTCATAAAATCTATTTTA